AATTGGTAGGGACCCGCTAAGAGGGGTGTCCGACGAGTTTAGTCCCGGACATAAGACGGTGTAACCATAGGTGGTTACGCTCACTGAGTCTAACCGCCAGCCTCTTGCTGCACTATGGGCACCTGATTCCGGTGACAGTGCGTGGAGTTGTTGGGAGGCAGTCAGAACACCCTGTTCTGTCATGAACATCACCACTGCCCTGAAGCCTCAGGTAGCAGCATTGGCTGCAGCTAGTAGGAGGTTTTTGTGGCTTTTAGAGGTTTTCCTCAGATAGTAGATAGCCAGCCATATCCACGGTACATCATTAGGATGTCGTGTCCTGATTGGCTAGCCATTAGCTAGTCCGTCTAGCCCTTAGAGCCAGTTGTTCTCACTGGTAGCTAAGCTAATTCACTTTCCGTTTCACCCGCAACCACCCAGTGTTCCCCCTGGCTTTTGCACCTTCCCACTCTTTTGTCGTGTTTTCTGCTTCCACATGATTGGCTAGTGATGGTTTTGTCGTGTTAGGGTGCATCGTGATTTGAGGTTTTCAGCACACACGGATTGGACAATCACAGCGGCACATGCTTATATACTAGTACTAGTACTACGTAGTACTAATTTTCATATAAACACCAATGAGCTTGCTCGCAGCGAAATTTACCGGCGACCTGCCCTGGGTCCAAGCACAAGGCGCTAGGTCATATGAGTCGTAGGAACATGTAGATTGACCAGAAGCACGATAGCTATGCGTAGCTATAGATTTGAAGTCTCCGCCATGATGTTCCGCAGCCTCTCCTAGTAACAGCAGTCGAGCCGTGCCGTGCCGCGAGCAAGACATGGCACGACTCACTGTAACCATAACGTAGATTTCCAATTTAAGAGACATGGGACAATTTAAGGGACATTAGATTCAGCCAATCACTTAAGTGTTCTTCTTGATCCCATGTGTTTTATATAAATCAATTAACCACAAAAAATATATGCATGGATCAATACTACTATAGCTTAAAATATGTCGCTTAAATTGTCCCTTACTTTTGAGGTGATTGATAGATACTAGTACTGTGAAAATGGATGTTTCACTGCTTGTTGGAAATTCCTGTTCACACTGTCAATTACGTAGTACTACGTAGTATCAGTTTTCAGAAGTCTGCTGAGCTGCTTCCATTTCCTGGCAGCGACTCCAAAATATGTCTCTTTACAGTAAATTGGAAATCTACGTTAGGTATCGTCATGCCTGCCGGTGGCATGACCGCAAAGGTATCCTGCGGAAGTGGGATTGATTTCACTGTTTCTTGTGGTGCAGTTGACGAGAACACGCCCACTAATGGCGGCTCCGACCAACCTCGGCATGGACTTGCAGCCCAGGGTGCGAGTAGAATCTCCAATACTCAAATCAAGTAAAACGTAGTCCAATCATTTTAACCTACTTGGAAAGCACAAATACCCAAAACACGATCAAAACCTGACTCGCCATCGTACTTTGAAAAAGTAATTTCAAAGTACGACGGAAACGATGCTGATTGGCTCCGTTCGTTTTTGAAAGTTGCTTGGAAGAGCCCAGTAGTACAGCTACAGTAGGAGTAGAAGTACACTAACTTACCTGTAGTTCAGTTGGTACTGTACAGTACTACTGCGTAGTATAGTACTACCGTATTTCCCGCACATCTGTAACCATGCAAATGTTTTAGAAATAGTTACAACTTTACGGGAACACTTTAAACGTACCACTATAGTTTCCGCTCAATTGCATCGTTTTGATTGGACAAAATGTTTAACCGCGCATACAATGAGCATGATTGACGAACACAAACCAAATGACTTCCGAGTCACGACGAAGTCGATCCACGTCTGGACAACGCAAAGCCATTTCATTGAGGTTTAAAGTGAAAGTGATACAAACTTACGAAGCTGCAACGGGTGCTGAGAAGACCTTCTATTGCATTGGGAAGGAATTTGGCGTCCAAACTGGCCAAGTGTCTCGGTGGGTCAAGGCCAAGGACAAAATCACCGCCAGGGCAGTGTTCAATCCGTCTGCATTGACCGTCAATGCTGGCCGCCCAGTGACCAATCCAGCAGTCGAAGCCGAAGTCCTTGAGTACTTCAACACTCTTCAGCAAGACGACATCGCCATCAGTACGAACATGCTCATCATTTACGCCCTCAGTGTGGACTCGGATTTTCATGGCGGACAACCAAATGCGTTGAAGAAGTGGGTCTATATGTTCCTGCAACGACATAACTTGGTCATTCGCCGCCCAACCCGCCGGGCTCAAAAGCGATCGGGCCATTTGACGGCGATTATGGAAGATTTTGGAACGACCTTAGTCGCACGCTTCGCGCCGTTTGGAACGTTGGTGAACGTAGCAGGGCGATGTTTTGTAAACATGGACGAAACACCTCTCCCTCTGGAGCCAGAGGTCAAGACAACGATCGCAACAAAGGGTTCAAGAACGGTGTCTGCACGCAAGTGTACGTCGTCCAATCCCCGTGTTACTGTGTGCCTTGCAATCG